TGCCAAATATTTTTCCTCTGACTATTCCTTTACTCAAAAACAAAACAAATAACAACAAAAACAGTGGTGGGGACTGAACACGTGGCCTTGTACATGCTAAGCCGGCGTTCTAGCACATGGTATTATGCAGTTCCTTTGTGAAGCTGTATTATTACAGCAAGTCAACTTTGAAGGCTTACGTCCTAAATGACCTCTTCCCTGAAGACTCAGTAGTTTAGTTCATCTCGGTCTTTTTGTCTGTGCTACTCGTATTCTCCAGAAGCCTGGTTATCAGTGCACAGGGAGCACACAGCCTGGTGACCACAGGAGAGCTCTTCCGATCGGCGCCAGCAGGGTGCCCACACAACCTCCTTTCTAAGTGAGCGTGGGCTCAGTCAGCTCAGCTTTTCCTCAGGACAAGGGGGTTGTCCACTTGGGGGCCAAATACCTACCCATTCTGTGTATTTGTTGTTGTTGTTGTTAAGAGAAAAGTATCTGGAACTCTGTCTGGTGATGAGTCAGGCTGCATGTATTCTGTACTGGAAAAGCAGACTGGCACCTGTTCTACGCAGATGCCCTGAAGTCATTTTTAGCTTCTATGTCGTCTGTGCTCACACAGCCTTTTCACTCTCTGCCATGTGTCTCACCTGCACCCAGGACATCCATCTTCCAGAAAGTTATGAGTTCCTTTGATGATCCCTTCTTTTCCTCAGCAACGCACTATGTAACTTTTGGGTTTTTTTTCTCCTTAACTTTCTATATTTGTATTTCAGTGGGGTCTCAGGAAAGTTAGAAAGTCATCTCAAACCAGGAGACAAAACCATCATATAATCTGTGTTTGATGGTAGAATCAGTTTGGGAAATAGCAATTAATTTAATTTGAAGATTTTTGCTTTTCAGAAACCAGTAACTACCATTAGATGCTAAATTCATTAATGTTCTAGCTTCAAGTTTCATTGGTAATAATATTTTAAATGTAAAAGTAAATTATATTGCCTAATGTGTAATTATTATTTTCTATTTTTAAAACAAGAATGAAAGGAAAGAATGTCTGTGGATATTTGAGGATACCTGTGACTTTAGTTTCCTAGAAAATTTATCTAGGAAGAAGGCTTGAATTCTAGTCTCAGGAATGGCCTACCTTTCATGACTTTCAAAGCACCGTGATTCTCATGGACATCTGCTGGTCGGCTTCCGCTCCTTGATCACATTCAGAATGCTGCTTTTTCTTTTGTAAGAACGGTTATTCCTTAGGGGATCACCCACCCTCACCCACGGCTTCAGAAGCAGGCTTTGGCCACAGTGCAATTCAGAGATAGACAAGCATGCAAAAATAAGCCAGTAGGACCAGGAGAGACTTCCAGGAATCCATCCTCCTCCTCCCCTTAGATCTCCTAATGGAAACCTATTCCCTTGTCCAGGGAGGGCTTTCTTTGCTCTTTCTAAAAAACCACACCCAGTTGGTTCCCCGATGCTGAGCTGTTGGTGTCATTCCTCCACTGCCTTCAGGACAAGAGCCCAGAGGGAGAGAACCGGTGAGCCTCCTCTGACTCTGGCCGGCAGGAGGCAGGAGCAGCTCCTCCTCAGCCCTGTGACCGTGAGTACACACAGCCGTGTGGCTAAGCAGTGGGGTCTGAGACGCTAGGTGTGTTCAATGCATTTGACTTATGGTATTTTCAACTTACAGTAGGGTTATTGGACATAAGCCCATCATAAAGGAAGCACATCTGTATATACAATTTGGAAAATAAAAAGTCTGTAGAAGGAAAATCCTTATTTGGCACAGACGGGATTAAAATCCAATTAGTTTTCGTCTATTCATGTAGAAAGATCTGTAATTCTATTTTTACAGGGGATCAATTCCCTCATTTGTTAAACTTTAGGGAGTTTTTCTCAGGTGTATTACTTAGAAAGACATTTAAAAGAACATGACAAGCAAGGGTTACTAGCTTCCTATTCAATGCACAGAAAATAATTCTAGAAAATGAAATTAAGGTTCACTGTTCATCAAGGTTCCATACTTCAAATTACTCAAATCAAGTCACTTTTAACCTATCCTTGGTTAACTAGTTTTTTATTCTAAGACATTGTATGTAGTTAGTTTCTCATTTTTTTTCTTAGAATTTACTTCTAATCCACTCATTAAAAAACTTAGGTAGGAAATGGTAATGGTTCCAAACATGCTTTATAAATGAAAATTTCACTTATGAGACATATCATCTTTTTTATAATCCCCAGGCAAATAATAAATACTACGTACTAGCTAAAGCTAGCTATTGTTAGAGTATGTGCAAATGACCATTTTCTAAACTGGCAGAAATTTCCGAAGGTCAGGTCACCAGGCAGAACCAATCCACACACTGCAGTTATTATCTGTGCTGTGGTTATTCCACACTACCTTTATTTGCTATCCTTAAATTTAAAAATAAGGAGGCCTTCTTCCCCCTTTTTACACAGAGTCTCACCACGCTGCCCAGGCTGGCTTCGAGGTCCTGATTTTCAGCCATCCTCGTGTCTCCACTTTCCACAGAAATGGGACAAGGTGCTTGCACCACAATGCCTGGTATAAAGCTGCTTTTTGAAATACAATGTAAAATATTTCTAAAATAACTACACTCAAACCTACACCAGGAGAAGTTCCTAAATCCCTACTTCTTTGCTAAAGTAATTTTTCAAACTAAAATTATTTAAACTGAATATTTAACTGAAATTGAAAAAAGAGATGCTAAAACAGAAAATATTGACAAATTACATCTTGAAGATTAGTGCGATGCTTTTATTTATGAACTGAAGAACGGTCGCACTAGCCAAGGTCATGCAGAGGTGGGTCGGTGGGAGGAAGGTGCCTGTGGGGAACCTGGGTGCTGTCACTGGGGTAGTTCAGCCTGGCTGCGAGGGGAGACGGGGTTCCCGCTGGAGCTGAGCGAGCAGGCGAAGACAGTGCCATGCATCTGTCTTATCTTTTCAAAGCCTAAAAACTTTAAAAGCTATTCTTAAAATCAAGAAATAACAGCTTGGCCAAGGTCTTCATTTCACTTGGGATGTGTAAAATATTCACATTTCTCTGTGACTATGGTCGAGCTGCTACTGCCTGCGGACAGAATCGGGTAGACAAGGGGAAAGAGACAGCTCCGCTGAGGGAACGGACAGCAAACTGAAAATTAAATGCAGCGGGAAGCAAGCTCTCTCAGCCCTTCAACCACATCTTTCAAGCCCTGTTTCTGAGAGTAGAAAATGCTAAGCTCAATTTGAGTGTCACTATGAACCCCTCTCTGTGCCAGATGATTTTATCCACATATTTATACCCAAAGTAAAAACAACTTAAAATGTTTACACTGGGTAGTAATGGAAGTCATGTGTCAAATACAATGGGCGGGGTGGGGTGGGGGAGAAAGCTCTCCTCGGAACTGAAGCTGGAAGATATACAATATCTGTGGAAAATCCGGCTTACAAATGAAAATACATTGTTTACCTATTCCATTTAATTACAGAGAACATGCATTTTTACCCTTTTCATACAATTTCTGCAGTCTCATTTTTCGGTTTTTGGTTTGTGTTTCGCTCTGAAGTGTTGCCTGCAGCTATGGGAGTCTCAAAGCTCGGTGCAGTCTCTAAGAACGTGGCCACACACATTTCAGGGACTTGGGATCCCTGTGTCCTGTAAGCCTTTCCCTCCAATGAGAGACAGTAAAAAAGAACCCTTTCACCAAGCCCGAAGCACAGGAGAAAAACAGCAAAGCAAGCCCCTCAGCTGCCCGCAGCCACCTCCAGGACAGCAGCTTTCCCGCTGAATGCTGAAAAGAAAAGGGCGACACTGCGTAGGAGACCAGGGCTAGACTTCGGCCTTGTTCTACGGAGCAAGTCCTCTGAATCTGTCACTAAGACTGGCCTGAGGAGACAGCCTCTCCTCAGCTTCTAATTGCCAGAGATGCAAGCACAACCATTCACAAAGCTGAGGAAATGGCATCCTGGTCACACAGCGTTCTAGTGTCCTTCCTAAACAGAGTCTATCCGAGCATTAGTTACCTCAAAGGAGCCACAAAGATACCAGGAGAAGGCCCGGGGATTTAGTTCAGTGACACTGTGCCTGCCTCGCAAGCGCCAGGTCCTGAGTTCAATCCCTGGTACCCCCAAAAAAGATACCAAAAGAAGAACAGCGGTGGCTGTTGATTCTCTAGTGTAACAGGTCTTAGGCGGGTCAGCCATGAGTTCCTAACTTACATGGAGTCCAGCTCTTCTGGGCCTTTCGTTTTAACTCAGAGAAGCTGACTTGGTTTTACCTTTCCTTCTGCGTTTCTTGTCAGTTGGTGAGAGTGCCTTTGTCTTCTTAGCTGGTCCTGCTTGTACTTCCTAATACACTGTTCATAAACACATGTCCTAACTGTCAAAGAAGCTGGCCCTCCATCTTAGGCAAGCTTTTATAAATACATTCTTGATGTGATTCCACAGATGTGCTAGCCAGGCCCACTGAAAACCCACTACCCTAACCAGCTTTCACATACCCCAAACAAAAAGACCCAGATTAATATGAGGAAGTGACAAATCGCAGAAGAATAAACAAAAACAAAATAATTTGTAGAGGTGAATTAAAAATGGAGGCACACAGCTATGATCCCGGGACTCTAGGAAGTGAAGGCAGGAAGACTGCAAGTTTGAGCTCAGCCTAGGCAATTTTGTGAGATGCTGTCTCAAAAAGGAAAGAATATAAACAGGCTATGGAACTCAGGGAAAATGCCAGATCCAACCGGAAAAACAAAAACAAAACAACAACAGAAAAACCTGGACAGATCCTCTCACTTCAGATTTGTCTTTTATCCTAATTTTCACTTCCTTAGTGCACAAGCCAATTTTAAACAGAACCTAATAAAAGTTAAACCAACCAATTAACAACATATTCATAATTTTAACGAGGAATCTTTGGCTGCTTGGTTATTTGTGTCACACTCATGTCCCAAGGGAGAAAAAAACAGTAAGACAGATAACTTAAGGCACACTGTATTAAGTGAAAAAATATATCTTACCTGTAAATACATTTCTAAGCCCTGCCGCCGTTGTTCCAAGACTTTTGGGACCCAGTTCCTGACATGCTTAGAAGGGATTTCTGGAGTTTTTATACACTTCTTCAGCTATAAATACACAAACAGAAAAAAAGAGAGAAGTTTGTTAATTATAATGGGATTATTTCTAGGGAAAAGCCAAAAGAAAAATGAACCAGCTATTTCCAATTTTTAAAAAGGGAAATATAATTATATAGAAATTTTGTCAAAAAGTTCTTTACTTAGGTGTCCTCACTATTCGGGTTTCAGGAAGAGTGTTGTGTTTTGAAAGTTGGGAGAATTTGACTTATTGATATTTCAGGTTGAAATTATTTTTCCTGAAAAACTGTCTCACGTAAATAAGGTTTAAAAAGGTAACTTAGTTTAAAAATCAATACAACATAGTTTTGTTTGAAGTGTTTTTCTGATAAGTCTTTTCTACATCTTTTTAACCTAAAAAAAGTAATGGTTTTTTGGGGAGGTTTTTGGAAATTCTATAATAGAATGAACTAAGAAACAGAGGCTAATCTGTTCAACATTCTTAACAATCAGGTTCAACTTCTATTCATGAACACTGAGTAATGGCTTTCAGCTAAGTCTTTCTGGACAGTACCTTTATGGAATAATATAAATAAAGATCTACCAGTAGTTGAGTAGAGCTTGAGTTAGAGTTGAGACAGACAGAAGAATCTCCCTCCACCAAAGATGGCCAAATCCTAAACCTGCGAATGTTCATACGGCAAAAGAGGTTTTGAGGATTTAGTTAAATTAGTGATCTTGAAATAAGGAGATTAACTGTCAGGCTCAACACAATCACAAGGATCCTTACACAAGGAAGGCCAGAGCGTCCAAGTGAGAAGATTACAGCTAGATTATGGTTTGCTAAAGGAAGAAGGGCTGAGAACTTGGGCAACCTGTGGAAGCCAGAAGGGATTCTGTGGTGCAGCTCCCACAGGGCACACAGTCCTGTTGACCACCTTGCTTTTAGTGCAGTGAAACTACTTTTGGAGTGCGGACTTCAAGAAACGCAAGACAGTCACTTCCAGAAAGATGGTGGGTCAGTAAATAGCAAATCAGCTCTCTGAGGTTCAGAATCAAGACACTGGAACCTCACAGCATGGGAAAGAAAAGATGGAGGTAGGTGGAGCCCTGGGTCCAGGGAGGATCTGAAGGAGAATTGGAGTCCTCAGATAAACAGAAGAGATAGACCTCAATGAGGAAAAAAGAAGTGGAAAACTGTTCCTTCTCCCTGAATCCAGCATGAGAGCAGGGTTGAATCTACAGTGATACAGGGAGGACAGGTGACTTTAGAGGCCTCTGCGGAGAAAAGCGCCAGTAGAAGGGAGGAGGAGATGCTGTGAGCTACGACAGCTAGTCAGTGACTCCAGTCCAAGTGTCCCCTGGAGAGTTCTTGGCCAGACGCCATGGATGGGCCTCATCTCAAGGCTCCCGGTGACTGGGTGAGGCACAACGTTGGGAGACCACTGGAGTCAGGGAACTGAGCTCAGGCCAGAAAGAGATGCCAGCGTCTTGTATTGTAGGCTGAAGAACTCAGGCCCCAACTACACAGGCAGAGGACACGATCAGCCTGAACTTCTGTGGAGTCAAAAGCACCAGAATCAGCAATCTACCCTAATCCTACCTCAGAATCGTGTGGCACAGATCTGAGCTCTGTGTGTCTGCTTTGTCTGCCAGTAACAGCGGAGACACAACTTGAATTAGACCCTACCACAAGACCACAGGCATAAAATCTACTTTTCTTTTCATATTTTTTTCTTTTTCCTTCATTGCTTTTGCTTTTTCATGAATGTGAATATTGTTTTTAGTTTTGTTTTGTTTAGTTCTTACTTTTGTTTATTCTTTCTTTCTTTCCATCCTCTTATTCACCAGTTTCTCAAAGCTTGGGTAACTTCCATGGTCCTTCAGCTTTCCTTCTAATTGTCTCTTCATTTATTTCTCTATTTTTTCATTTTATCCCTTTTAAATTTTCTCTGCTGGAGGTAAAAATTGCTCTATTGAGGGGATATTTACTGTGTATAATTTTATGATTTGCTTTAGATTTTGTCATGTAACTATAAATCTTTACCTGTGGTTACAGGTGGAAAATTAAGACCACAGTTTGTCATTTTCCAGACTGTGCTTGATGCTATTGTTATTTCAGGTTGTATTACCCTAGCAAAGGTGCCAGAGTTACTGTGATCAGCTGTTCTTCCTTGCATGTCCACACCAAGATTGTCTGGGGGTCATAAACAATACTGTAGTCCAGTACCAAAGAACTGGGTGCTAGGCTGCAACTTCTCGTCCCTAATAAACTGAAGAGGCAGGATCTTGGGACAGACTCAAACCCAAAAACCAGCTATTCCTAGAGGACATCTCTGAAAAGTAGTCATTTCCTAAGGAAGTCTCAATACCAGTACTAAAGCTACCTACCACAAGCAATTTATAAGCATGAAGGCAGAAAACAAAAACTAAAACAAAAACAAAAAAAGAAAATGGTCTGGGATTTAGCTCAGTGGTGCTGCTGCCTGCTTTGCAAGCACAAGGTCTCAAGTTCAGTCCCTAGTACCAAAACAAAAGAAAACAAACAAAAAGCCAAAAAACAAAACAAAACAAAAAAAGAAAATGAGAAGACACGGAAGCAAGATGCAACCCCAGAACTCCAGCTTGCCCAAGGAAAATCCAAGGGGCATCAAGGCAGAATGAATCTTTTGCCCCCCAGCCGAACTTTCTGAAATACTAGTAGTGGAAAAACAAAGTAGATGAATTAGGATCTGAAAAAAAGCAAATTAGAAAGAATTCCACAAAAAATTAAAGAAATTATGATGAAAATTAAGGCTATGGTTAGCAAATATAGAGTAGATACAGATTTTTTTTTTTTAAAACAGAGGAGTTTAAGCAAGTGATGGAGACTATGAATGCCCAGCACAGGAAAGAACTAGATTCCAAGAAATAGAGACAGACAGATATCAGGAAGATTTTTTAAAAATTCTATTGAAAGTGTACGCAGCAGAATCAACCAATGTGAGGCAGAATATCAGACCTAGAAGATAGGTTTGCAGTTAGCGATCACAAATAAAATACCAAGGGAACACACACACACACACACACACACACACACACACACACACTCACAAATCAATCCAAGAGTTGTTAGATGATGCAAAGAAGAATAACAGAAGATTTATCAGAATCAATGAAAAATCAGGAGATAGCACAAAGGACATTAAAAAACCTGTTCATAAGCAGATTTATCAACACAAACTCTTAAATCAAGGAGAGGTAGGATGAAACAATTTTAAGCCCCCCCCAAAAAAAGTCCAACCCTGATTCACGCACCTCACAAAATTATTTTTTAAAACTGATGGAGAAATAAGATACTTCCATGATAAAGAGCACCATAAGAAATTCATGACCACCAAACCAGCACTCCAAATAGTTCTCAAGGATATTCTCGAAAAAGACCACAATTTGATGAATCCCAACAGAATGAATCTACGAGGCAAGGCAAGCAATTAAAAGAAGGAGAAGGGAATCAACAACAGGAAAATAATATGACAAGGATAAGTCAACACATATCCTTTTTAACCACTAAAGTAAATGATCTCAATGTACCAATCAAAAGAAACAGATTAGGAAAATGGATCAAGAAATAAGATCCAACAATATACTGCATACAAGAAACACGTTTAATTAAAAAAGAAATTCAGAGACAAAATCAAAGGATGGAAAACAATGCTGCATGTGACATAAACCCAGAAAAAAGCAGGGGTACCTATTGCATTTGTAGACAGAGCAGATTTCTAGCTCAGACTGATCATAAGAGCAAAGAAGGTCACTACACACTTGTTAAGAAAACAATTCAAAAGGAAGAGATAATGATCATAAATATATATGCACCAAATACTACAGCAACCAGCTATGTAAAAAAAGTCAGTGGACATGAAAAATCAAATAAGCACTAGGACAGCTGTTATGGGGGGACCTCGATAACCTGCTGTCACAAATAGATTAGCTAGAGAAAAAACAATGACCAAAGAAATATCAGAGCTGAACCAAACCTTTGAACAAAGGACTTAAAAGTATCTACAGAGTGTTCCACCCACATCAGAGTACACCTTCTTCTTAGCTGCACATCGGAATTTTTCCAAATTAGATCACATACTTGCTCATGGAATATACTTAAGTAAATGCAAAGAAACTGAATTATCCCAATGCATAGTATCAGATCACAGTGCAACGAAATTGGAAATCAATGGCAAAAGAAACCACAAAAACTATATAAACACATGGAAATTAAATAATACCCTCCTGACCAATGGGTCACAGAAGAACTTAGTTTCTACAATTAAACAATAATGACAACACAACATACCCAAACTTATGAGCCACAATGAAAGCAGTCCCACGATAAAAAGTTATACAGGCTATTCCCACATCAGAAAAACAGAGCAAGCTCAAATAAACAATATAATATTGAATCTCAAGCTTCTAGGAAAAGAAGAGCAAGTTAAACCCAAAACACATACAAAGGAGCAAATTATAAAGATGAGACCAGATACTGAAGCAACCGAGACTAAGAAAACAATACAAAATCAACACTCAAAAATCAATAGTATTCCCATACACAAGTAACAAACTCATTGAGAGAGAAATTAGGGAAACAATATCTTTCACAATAGCATCAAGAAAAATGAAATATTTAGGAATCAATCTAATAAAGGCAGTAAAATACCCTTACTTCGAAAACTATAGTACTCTGAAAAAAGGAGATTGATGAGAATATCAGAAAATGGACAGACATCCCTTTTTCTTGGACAGACAGAATCAATATAGTGAAAATGGCCATACTTCCAAAACTGTTACACAGATTTAATGCAATCCTGATCAACACCAAAAGCATACCTTACAGAATTAGAGAAAACAATCCTGTAATTGATTTAGTACCAGAAGAGACCTAGAATAGCAAAAGCAATTCTGAGCAACAAAGACAAGGCATGGGGTGTCACAATCCCCAATTTGAAATTATACTACAAACCTACTGTGATAAAAACAACACAGTACTGGCAAAAAACAGACCTGAGGATCAATGG